GACTAGAGGTGGGTTGGGCATGGCTGGAGGAGGTGGGTCACTGGGAGTCTGCCCTGGAAAGATGCATTTTGCCTGTGGTCCCTTTCCCTTTCTGCTTCCTGACCCCACCATGAACTGAATGACTTTCTTCTGCTGGGCTCTTTCCCCATAATGTGCTGCCTTACATTGGCCCTAGAGCAATGGAATCAGGCTGACACCTCTGAAATCAGGATCCCCAAGTAGACTTTTCCTCCTGTAAGTTGTTCTTGTTGGGTATTTTGGTCACAGTGATGCAAAAGCTGACAAAACACTTTGTAATTTTTTAAATTCTCAATTTCATTAATTTCAGCTTTAATCTTAATTATTTCCTGTTTTCCACTGGTTTGGAAATTAATTTGTTCTTGCTTTTCTAGGACCTTTAGATGTAACCTTAGATAGTAGGGAACTCTCTGAACTCTCTGTTTTTTTTTTTTTTTCTTTTATAAATGTAGGCATTTAGTGCTATAAGCTTTCTGCTTGGAACTGCCTTCAGAGCTTTTGATATATTGAATCTATTCTTGTTTGTTTCTAAAAATTTTAAAACTTCTATCCTGATTTCTTCTCTGAACCATTTCTCATTCCAAAGTATATTATTCAATCTCCATGTATAAACAAGGTTTCTATTTTTTATTTCATTATTTATTTCTAATTTTACTTCATTAACTTCTGATAAGATGCAAGGAATTCTCTCTCTCTCTCTCTCTCTCTCTCTCTCTCTCTCTCTCCTTTTTGTTAAGACTTGCTTGGTGTCCAAAACATGGTCTATTTTGGAGAAGTTTCCATGTGCAATTGAGAAGAAAGTAACTTCAGTTGTTGATGGTTGAAATTGTCTGATAGGTACGTTTGATTGATAGTATTTTTTTTTTTTAAGGTCTAAAGATCCTTTACTAAGTTTCGTTCTGGATGACCTATCTATTGGTGAGACAGGTGTGTTGAAATCACCCAGTTATTGTATTGGAGTCTATCTAGGACTTTATGGTGTGTAGTGTTTGTTTTATGTATGTAACTGTGCCAACATTAGGGGCATAAATATTTATAATCATTGTATCTTTTTGTGGGATAGACTCTTTTACCAGTATAAAGTAATCTTCTTTGGCTCTTCTGATTACTTTTGGCTTGAAGTTTGCTTTTCAAATATGAGAGTGGCTACCCCTGCTTGCATTTGGTCTCCTTTTGCATGGTATATCAACTTTTCATCTTCAGATTATGTATGTATTTGCTTAGAAACTGTGTTTCTTGTAAACAACATATCATTGATTCCTGTTTTCTAATCCACTCTGCCTTTTAATTGGAAAGTCAGGGCCATTTACACTTCATGTTACTATAGAGAGGATTATTTCCTGTCATTTTGATCTTTTTTTGGGGGGTGGGGTACTAGGGATTGAACACAGGGGCACTCAACCATGGAACCACATCCCCAGCCCTTTTATTTTATTTTATTAGAGATAGGGTCTCACTGAGTTGCTTAGTGCCTTGTTAAATTGCTGAGGCTGGCTTTGAACTTGCAATACTCTTATCTCATCTTCCTGAGCCACTGGAATTACAGGTGTACACCAATGCGCCTGGCCCCATTTTGATTTTTTCTAATGTTTTATTTTTTCTTGACTCTCCTTTTTAAAATTATTCTTCTAGTGGGATTTATTTTCTCTCTTTTAAGTTTGTTTTGCCTTTCTTCTGCATGAAGTATTTTTCTAAGAATTTCCTATAATGCCGGTTTAGTCATCATGGAATCTTAGTTTATGCTTATCTTGGAAGTTTTTATTTGGTCTTCAGTTCTCAAGCATAGCTTTGCTGGATAAACTAATCTTGGTTGACAATTATTATCTTTCAGAACTTGATATACATTATTTCAAGGCCTTCTGGATTTTATCTGGGCTAAGAGATCAATGGTGATTTGCTTAATTTACCTCTAAATGTGACCTGCCATTTTTTTTTCTTGCAGCTTTTAAAATTCTATCCTTGTTCTGTATGTTAGACATTTTAATTATAATATGTCTCAGAAAGGATCTTTTTGATCTAGTCTGTTTAGGGTTCTGAATGTATCCTGTATGTCATTCCCAAGGTTTTGAAAATTTTCTGATATTATATCACTGAACAGGTTATGCATGCCATTAGTTTATATCTCATTTCTTTTCTTTATATCAATAATATGTAGATTTGGTCTCTTCATGTTGTCTCATATTTCCTGAACATTCTGATCATGGTTTCTTTCTTTTTTTTTTTAAAGAAAGAGAGAGAGAGAGAGAGAGAGAGAGAGAGAGAGAGAGAGAGAGAGAGGAGAGAGAATTTTAATATTTATTTTTTAGTTTTCGGTGGACACAACATCTTTGTTTGTACGTGGTGCTGAGGATCGAACCCGAGCCGCACGCACGCCAGGCGAGCGCGCTACCGCTTGAGCCACATCCCCAGCCCTGATCATGGTTTCTTATTGTTGTTTTTGCTGACTAAATTTTCAAGATTATATACCTTGTCTTCAAGGCCTGAAAAATCGGTCTTCTGCATAATCTCTCAATGATACTTTCCATTGAACTTCTAATTCAATTTATTAATTTTTTCCAGGTTATCTGTTTCATTCTTTTAAAAAATATTGATCTCTTTATTGAAATAATCTTTCACTTCCTGTATTTTCTCTTATTTCAGAAAATGTGCTTTTTTTTCTTTTTCTTTTCTTTCTTTCTTTTTTTTTTTTTTTTTTTTGGTACTAGGAATTGAACCCAGGGGCACTGAGCCACATCTGTAGGATTACTGGGGGTATAATAGCAGGGAGATGAAACCAGGAAGGAGATGAAGTGGTAGCAGTAAATTGCACTTGTTTAACTCTACTAAGGGTCCCTAAGTTTCTTACCCCTGATCCTCTTAAGATGATATCACCTGCAAAGTGCTATATAAATATTTACAATAAATAGTACAGGTCATAAAATGAGTATACTTTTTGATTAAATGAATGTGGTTGAAATCATCTGGCAGTGAGGGTTCTAGCTCAGGAAGGCCTATCCTCCGCTTGGGATAAGGCATGTGTTGACTCTAGTGTAGCTCAGTGGAACTTTTGGCCAAGTGCAACCATTACTGGGCATAAGCCTGGATAACTTGGCCCTCACATGGTTTCATTTCCACTGTCAATATTCTCACCACTCAACAACTGCCTTTATAGCAGTGTTTTGCACACAGTAGGCACCCATCAAAAACAAATGCTTTTCAACTCTTTTCGCATGTCCCACAGTTTAGATTTTTAAAAAATTTATATATAATTTATTTTACTATAGTCATCACAAACTATATAATTATTGAGTTCCCCAAAACTAGAAACATTAGCTAAAAGGTAATTTTAATACAAAATGAAGAATGAAATAAATATATCAATCCAAGATGAAATAACTTTCAAAATGTATTCTTTTAATGCAGTAATATAAGCCATTAAAGTTTTAGAAAATCTGGGTGTATAAAAACTTCTCATGTGAAATAAAATGATTCATTGTATGTTCTATTGAAACTGATGATGTTAAGAATGTAATACTGCAATTTATTTAGATTATAGAGGCCCTTAATAATAAGAATTTTCTTAATGCATTATGTTCTACAGTTAACACTGTCTTTAATCTTTCAAACATTCTTATACAAATACCTATACATTTAGATATTAATCATTTTTCTTTTTTAGTCTGTTCTAATTAGTTATACATGGCAGTAGAATGCATTTTGACACACTGTACACAAATGGAGAACAACTTCTCATTCCTTTGGCTATATATGGTGCAGAATCACATGGGTAGTATAATCATAATGTCCTTCTCATTCCACCGTCCATCCTATTCCCACACCTCCTCCCCTCCCCTCACTCTCCTCTGCCCAATCCAAAGTTCCTCTGTTCTTCCCTACCCCCACCTCCATTATGGATCAGCATCTGATTATCAGAGAAGAACTTCAGCCTTTGGTTTTTTGGGTATGGCATGTTTTATTTAGCATAATATTCTCTAGCTCCATCCATTTACCTGCAAATGCCATAATCTTATTCTTCTTTATATTATTGTGGGATAGACCCCACAATATTCCATTGTGTATATATACCACATTTCTTATCCATTCATCTGTTGAAGGCATCTAGGTTGGTTCCATAGATTAGCTGTTGTGAATTGAGCTGCTTTAAACATTGATATGGCTGTGTCACTGTAGTGTATGCTGATTTTAAATCCTTTGGGTATAGACAGAGGAGTGGGATAGCTGGGTTAAATGGTGTTTTTTTGCAAGTTTTCTAAGGAATCTCTATATTACTTTCCATGGTGGTTGCACCAATTTGTAGTCCTGCCAGCAATGTATGAGTGTACTTTTTTTCCGGATTCTCGCCAACACTTATTGTTGCTTGTATTCTTGACAATTGCCATTCTGACTGAACTGAGATGAAATCTTACAGTAGTTTTGATTTGCATTTTTCTAACTGCTAGAGAGAATGAACATTTTTTTTTTCATGTTTGTTGATCTATTATATTTCTTATTCTGTGGAGTGTTTGTTCACTTTATTAGCCCACTTATTGATTGGGTTATTTTAGACTTTTAATTTATATGGTTTTCTTATTTCTGCTTGGTGAGGCATTCCTACACTTTTTTTAGGAAGAGAATCTCATATCCTTGATAAGCAAAATCAGTCTTAATTAATAGTGACCAGTAGAACTGCAGTTCTATTCTTTTATAAATACAGCTAATAATAACAGTGCCATAATATATACATTAAAATGCTTTAAAGTGAGATGTAATAGGATAATTTTAACCTGCACTTCTAACTTTTAAAAAATAGATGTTAGGCATACATAATAAAATTCCTAAATATTTAAGTGATATATAGTTCTTTCAGTCCACTCTTGTCTCCCAGATGCCTAGTTCCTTTCCCCAGAGGCAATCATTGCTCTCATTTCCTTGTGTATCTTGCTCAGGTAAACTGTGTATTCCACTTATGTCTAATGTTTATTTCAATTACTTATTTATTTTAGACGACTCCAGAATTGATGATAAAAGCATGCACCTTTTATACTGGACATTTAGTAAAGACCTATTTTGGGTAAGAATGTGATTTTTCTAAGAATGTGATTTTTATATACTATTTCTTTTTGTGTTTTTATTCATGATATTCTCCACATAAAGAAAAACTCACTCTTAGCCAGTTGTGCTGATTTTTTCTATTTAAGCATGTTTCTACCATTTCATTTTTAAACATTTTTTTAAGATTGTAGATGGACCCAGTACCTTTATTTTATTTATTTATTTTTATGTGGTGCTGAGGATCAAACCCAGTGCCTCACACATGCTAGGCATGTGTTGTACCACTGAGCCACAACCCCAGTCCTACCATTTTATGTTATATTTTAAAAAATATTCAATCAGAATGTATTTGGTTAAAATATATTTTTTACTTCTTTGAGATATAACTTTTGTATGTTTTTCTTTTTCTTTTTTAAAATAAAACTTATAAACAGATAGTACAGGTCCACAATTCACTTATTTGAAATCCTTAGGGACAGATATGTTTTGGAATTTGGATCCCCCTTTTTTGTTTTTAATTTTTTTTAATTTTTAAATTTGTTCTAATTAGTTATACATGACAGTAGAATGCATTTTGACACATTGTACACAAATGGAGCACAACTTCTCCTTCCTCTGGCTGAATATGGTTGCAGAGTTGCACAGGTACTATAATCATACATGTATATAGGGTAATAATGTCTGTCTCATTCCACTGCCCCCTTTTTTCTTAAATCATCATTATGACAATTATTTTGGGAAATTGAAGTTATCCTAACATGACATTATTCCATGATTTCTTTATCTTATCCCAAAAGAAATAAGGCTGCCATATAACTTCTGTTATCCTCTGTAATCATTAGAAATTCTTCAGGTCACCCAAATGTATAGATTTTCTTTCTATGCTGTGATTTTGAGGAGAATAAAGGAAGTGTTAGTTCTTGTTCCATTTAACATATTTACTAACGGGTTGCTCTGACGTCAAAATGTTATTTTTCTGTGTTTCTGCCTGCAGGACTTGGAAAGAAATAACAATGCCTCATATAAATGTAGAGGATACCCTAGCTGAAAAGATGGAAAAAGCAATGATTTATTGTGATTCTAAACTTAAAAAATTTTTATTTCATCAATGGTACTCTTATACAAAAAATCAAAAAGCAAAATTTCAAGGTAAATCCTTACATGATAACAATAGTTTTTTTTTAATTTACTTATTCAGAGAATCAGTAAACTTATAGTTTAGCATGGTTTGTATTATTGTCATAAAATTAAGGTAGAGCCATTAATTCAGAATACTTAATGACATTTTGTTTAAAGATTTTATTATATTAGAAAAGAGGCATATTTAAAATTAAATTCTGTGTATTGGTGTATGAATATATAAATATAAATAGCGATTTATTACTTTTTACATAGTAAAGAACTGGTATGTTATAGGTGGATATCAAAGTTGACTACTTTTATGGAGACCTATATATTCTTTACAAATATTTAATTTAATTTATATATGAGAAAGCTTAAAGAAAAATCATTTCTCTTAATTAAGAGTAGTGGTAGCCAGGCATGGTATTGCCTGCCTGCAATCCCCACTCCTGCAATCCCCACTCCTGCAATCCCAGCGGCTAGAGAGGCTGAGACAGGAGGATCATGAGTTCAAAGCCAGTCTCAGGAAAAGTGAGGTGCTAAGCAACTCAGTTAAGACCTGTTTTTAAATAAAATAAAAAATAGGGTCGAGGATGTGGCTCAGTGGTTGAGTGCCCCTGAGTTCAGTCCCTGGTTCCACTCCTGCCCGCCCCACCCCCCCCACCAGTAGGGGTAAAGAATTCTAGCCTTTTGCTCGGATGTTGTTGCTGCTCTCTAGTACTGACTCATATATGACTGTGCAAATCACAAAATCATTTCCTTTTGTGTTGTTGTCTGTACCTCTCAGAGTGGATCCCCTGAAGGTTTTAACATAAATGTGATGAAGGATCTAGTTAATTGGCTAACTAGAATTTCACAGGGCTATAATGGTAGGTAGTAACTATCTTCAAAATTCCTATCTTGGAGGAATTGTGAGCTCTGTAGTAAAAGCAATTTAATTTGAACATGAGAATGGGGATGGCCTCTATCATTTTTTTTTTCTCTTTCCACTTCTAGGCTACTTCTTCTATGTCTCAACACCTCTCCCTATTCTTGTGATGGTTTTTTGCTCCTGGTTTATGTTTCTCTTTTCACTTTTCTTTCCCTTTCTCAGGCTTTCTGTCACTGCTGCATCTTCCTTCTATTGTTCTAAATCTCTCTCTTGTCTATTTTGCCTTTTGTACCTTTCACCTCCCAATCTCTTAAAAACATCCCAGTTACAATCACATTGTGGCCCTTCAGGATGTTATTCCTCCTGCCCTATCCTTAGTTCATATACCTTGATCATGAAAAAAGTTAAAATCTTGTTTGAGAATTATCAGGAATCCCAAATAATAAGCCCAAGTTATGATTCTCAAAGTGGTAGCTTTAAAATGGACAAAAAGGGGCTGGGGTAGCATGCTCGCCTAGCATGTGTGAGGCACTGGGTTTAATTCTCAGTACCACATAAAAATAAAAAATAAAGATATTGTGTCTACCTAAAACTAAAAAATAAATATTAAAAAAATATAATAATAATTATTGAAGTATTTAAAAATTTTTCTAGTTGTCAATGGACACAATACCTTTATATTTATGTGGTGCAGAGAACAAAACCCACTGCCTTTCATATACTAAGCAAGTGCTGTACCTCTCTACCACTGAGCTACAAGCCCAGCCCCAATATTTAAGTATTTTATGGTACATTTATATAATGTATAATAAAGCCTTGAAGGTCTGAAATATTATAAGCTGATATAATTTAGAAGCTATATAAATAATCTAATATATTGGTATATAAATAAGTTTCTGATAAAACAATATAATAATTTCCTCACAAAATGTTTTTATTTTGTACTTGTTATAACTTAAAGGGTAAACACTAAAATCAACCTAAGTATTTGAATGTATGGAACTGTATTTTGGTGGAAAGCAATTCAAACAAAAGGCATTGAAATTAAAATGAATGGAAAAACTTATTGCCTTAAATAATTGATTTTCAAGCCATCATTTTATGTGCCCATTCAAAAGTGTTGAAATTTCTAATTATTCTTTTTAAAAATATATATGTTTTTAGTTGTAGATGAACATAATACTTTTATTTATTTTAATGGTACTGAGGATCGAACCCAGTGCCTCACACTAGACAAGCGCTCTACCACTGAGCCACAACCCTGTCCCAGATAATTATTCTTGAAAAGATTACTGAAGTAACATGGTAGAGAGATTGGTTTTGTTTGTTCCTCTGTTTGGGAGCTGAACTTAAAATTGTTTTGTGTGATTCAGCTCTCCATACTGAACCACAACACTTTAAACAGAATGAAAAGAGTGGTCCTGTAGATGATTAATTAGGTGAACTGAACAGATATGCAATGATAAAAGCTTATTCATTTCTGAGTTAGATTAGCTCAATTTGAGAACTATTAATTAGCCAAACTAGATGAGTTTTAGGCTTTCTGAAGAGGTTAAATCTGAGAACGAAATTATAGTGTGGATAGTGACTACATGGTGACTCTGGAGGCTGAGGCAGGAGGATCACAAATTTGAGAACAGGCTCAGCTATTTAGCGAAGCTGTAGGTAACTCAGCGAGATTCTGTCTCAAAATAAAAAATAAAAAATACTGGGGATGTAGCTTAGTGGTAAAGCACTTTTGGTTCAATCTCCAGTACAATCAATCAATCAATCAATCAATCAAATAAAACGAAATAAAAATAAAATTCTAACTGTGATTTTGAAAACTGGTAACACATTTTGCTCTATTTGCACAATATTTAACAAATTTAAAAATTTATTTTTTGAGTGTCAGAAGTAGTCATGTACAATCCAGACATCAGCTTTTTTTGAAAAGAAAAACAAAACAAAATCCAAAACAAAAACCAAACATTATAAAAACAAAACCAAAACTAGGCCTTTACTCTTGCAAAAAAATAGTTGGCTGCAATTTAGATTACAAACAGGAATATAAATGCAGTCTTCTGAGGGCAGTATCTCCAGGCTTGCTGCTGTTGTCCTCCTTCCTGGCCCTTTTGGACTTTGGATTCCTGGTTAACATGTATAAAGCAATCCATTTAATCAAATAATTATAGCATATAACAAATTAGAAAACATTGGGTCTGAACACTGCCTCATGATTGCATTTCTTATGAATAAGTTTTAGAAGTTCTGGTTTATAAGAAATAGATTTGTTTTAAAAGAAATGATACATATCTTCACATTTCTATACATATCTTCATATTTCTAAGGGCAAAGGTGAAGTTTACAGGTTCATAAGGTCTCGGGAGCACTTTTTAATCCTTTCAAAGTAATTAATTTTGGGTGTCATTAAAATCAAGAAAAAACATCAGATGCAACATTGGTTCCTATTGTAAGCATGACAGAATATTGAATCATTTGGGTTCTTTTTGAAACAGCTTTAATTATATAGGAACTTTATTAATTTTTTTCAGGTGCAATATTATGGATACAAAAGATCTTCCAAGATCACAGGCAAAGGAATTTCATTGCAAAATGGCGGGCTATTGTAAGAATTAGAAATAAAATCAGAGAAGAGGAGTTGGTATGGTATATTGAAAACTTAATTTTTTAAAGAATCTGATTTAGTTATAGTATATTGCCTCAGATAATAATGCTATATGTAGAAAGTATTAAAATCCTTCATATTTTGTACTTTGCTGGTATTCTTGCTCTTTTAATAATATGGTAATTTAAATTCCACTTCAGTTATTCAAAGTATTTCTTTTTACTCTTCTATTTTTTATATTCTGTTTTTAAATTTTTAAGTTCATTATCATCATATCCCAAATATTTCTGATTTTTTTGTTTAATTTGAACTATGAAAATCAAGAAACGATCTTTTAACATTTTGTTTATATTTATTGATAAAGAAACTAAGTAAATATTTAGATAGATGTCTGAAGTGGAAGAGAAACTAATATGATTTAGAGAAATAAATGATGAAGTTGAATCAATCTATTCCTTTTCTAGATAAGATTAAATTGCTATTTATTTATTCTTTTTCAACATTCAATTTAATAAATCACAACCTTAACATTAAATGATTTCTTAAATTACTAAATTGGCAAGTTTAAAGAATCATTCTTAACTGGAACACCCACTAAGAACTGAAATAGAGGACTCACGATAACATCTCTAAGCATAAAAACACCCTAGTTCGCTTAAGTTATCATTATATCATTACTTAATTTTTTTTTAAAGAATGTTCAGAGTAACTACTAGCATCAGGCTGGAATTTTTTGTAGTTATATTATTTAGTAGGCAATATTTTATTAATATTCTTTGAAATACTAAGTTAGGAAAAAGAGGATTAAATCAAATCTCCCTCTTTTGTGGTTGCCCCTTGGAGGGCATGAGCAATGCCCCTATTCACACAAAAGTGGTTCAGATGTTAAAATTGACAATACCACACAGGAATAGCATATGAGATCTTTTTTTTTTACTCATGTATGCTTGAAACAGCTCTAGAGTCTGTGGAGGATATTGAAAAGCTAAAGCACAGTTCTGGCTCTTTAGCATTTATAATCTATGGGTATTGGGCTGTCATGCTTGTAGGATGACATCTAGCCTTTGCCTTTTGTGGATACCTTTGGGTACCATTTTGTGTCTGCTCATTCAGTGCTTTCTACCACTTTGTGTATTAATCTAGTGTTTTGATCACTGTCTTCTATGCCTGATCACTAATTATCTTGTGGCAAAGTAGGTAACTGTATCTGACCAGTCAGCCCCTGTTTTTTAAATATCCTTCCTTAAGCTGAATGTCCCTGAGAGCAGGCAGTATTCTCACAATCTTCCCTATACACCAAGCATAATGTTTTGCACACTCTAGTTGATACATAGAGTACATATCGTATGAAGAGTAATTTAATATTATTCTTAATATATATGTGTATTACATAGTTAATTGGGTGTTTAGAGAAGAAATTTTCTTCTAGTTATATAATTTCTTCACAAACAGTCATTCTATATTCACGTAGAGTAAGGATGACAGGTATGTGCTGGGAGCAGAGGCAGGGAACATCTGTGTGTGTTGGCCCTCCAATGTGTGCTTTTCCTTAGACTCTAATTGATAAATACATTTATTTATATGCTCTCTCTATATATTAATTACATGGAAATTGCATGTGTATGGATGTGAAATGCTAGTTTATCCTTAGCATTTTATATTTATTACACATTTTTCGGGAATGTATCAGAATAATAATGTAGACTTCCTGAAATGATAAATCAGGCAAATCTCCAAATAATTTCCTTCTGACTCCCCCTCCTTTTATTTTTAAATTTTTATTTATTTTTGCTATTTCTCTGCTAAACACCTCCCTTCCATGCCCTTTTATTACCAGCACCTTCACTTTGTGGGCTTCAGTTTCTTCATCTATAAAAGAGGAGGCTAGATTCAAATTTTTTTCAATGGATTGAGAATTTTTCTTTTATTAGTGCATTATAGTTATACATAATAGTTAGGTTCATTTTGACAAAATCATACATGCATGGAATTTGATTTATTCCATTTCAATCCCTAGTATACCTCTCTTTCGCTCCCCTCTTCCTTCCCTCTATTCTCCTTCCTTTACTGTAGACCAGATCTTTAAGGTGGCTGCCTGTGCCAATGTTGTATAACAGCTAAGACAAATGATCTGTAATGCAAGCTTTGGTGGTTCAGGGAGTATTAAACATGCATATTGAAAATTTTAATTTATGAAATAACAAGGATAATAAATAATGTTAGGTTGGTGCTATTGTTATGTTAAGCACTGTGCTATCATCTTATTTGATCTCTATGACAAATCCATGGAATTTGTTAATTATTTTCATTGCAGATATCAAAACATGAATCTGAGCTGAAAAACTGGAAAAAAAGGTTAAAAATGAAATCTTCTGAAGAATTTGCTTCTCTTGAACCAAGTTTCTCTGAAGCTGTTTTCAAGAGTAAGTCTATGGAATTTGATATTTCACAGTTACCCGAAAATGCAGTATTACAGGTTTGTATGAATTAATTATATACTATATAATATTACCATTTATGTATATCTTGGGAATTAGGATGATTGTATTTTTGACCATTATTCTCTCTTTTTACAAATTACCAGCTCATATTTTGTCTTTTAGTAAAAATTTCTATAAATTTCATACTGATTTGTAATAGCTCTTTTTTTTAAAGACTGATTCTGTCATCAGTTTAATAGGATATTCCTTCTATAAGGCTGCATTTGTGAAGTATATATTTAAAAATACCAACAGTTTTTGTAATAACTCTTTATATATTGATAATCATATCCCTTTGTCTGGAATCTATTTAGAGATTATTTTCCCCAAACTTGAGGCTTTCATTTTTCCTGTGGAGTCCTTTGATAAAAGAAATTTAAAGTTTTAGGTAATAAAGTCTATGACTCTCACCCTATGATTTCTCTTTATGTCATATTAATATGGCAGTATTAGTATGTCATTCTTGATTTTCTAAGCTGTATCACATTTCTTCTTACATTTGTGAAGCTGTTCTTTTTTTTCCTATAAACTCCTATGCCTTGACTGATAATGTTTCTTTGTTTATTGCTGCCCTAGGGTTTATATTATGTATTTTTAAGATATCACAGATTACTTTCAAAGAATTTATGCCACATTATTATGATGTAGGACTTTAACAACAGTGTGCTTTTATTTCCTCTCTCCTGTGCTTTTAGCTATTATTGTCATATATTTTGTTTCTATATATTTATAAACTTCACAATATAATTTATTATATTTGTTTAAAATAGTCAGTTGTATTTTATCCAGCACAATTAAAAACAAATTTTAACAATCTCAGACTTGCAGAAAAGTTACAAGTATGTTACAAAGAATTTTTTTCCTAAAATTTTGAGAATGAGTTTCTGGCATACTATGTCACAACACTGGAATATTATTGATATATTTCCTATAAACATGTTTTCCTCTTAAAGTCAATCATCAAAATACTTAGACCTAATTCAGGGTTCCTCAGTTATTCCAATGATGATCTAGCAAAAGGGTCTAGCTCAGGACACATGTTGCAGTTGGTTGTCAGGTCTCCTCGGTTTCCTTCAGTCTGGAACAGGTTCTCAGTCTTTCGTTAATTTTCATGACCTTGACATGAAGAAATTGGCAAGTTTTATGGTGAATTCTCTCAATTTAGGTGTGGTTTTTAATACTTCTGCATGAGTTGATTTACCCTAGGCATTTTTACTAGAGCACACAGACATGATCATGTTTTCTTCTTCTCAGTGTATCCTCTCAGTGACTCAGGATTTAGATTTGGGTAAATGTCTTCTTGGGATATAACCTGCTTTGGGCTCCAGTAACCCACAATGAACCACATTTCCTTAGTTTGCCTTCCTTTTCCAATTTGGGTTCCAACTTTTCATTTGGGGATATTCCTCCTTGAGAACAACCTTCTAACACTTCTTGGGCTCCAGAACTCTGTGCCAGGCTGCTCCATTGAGGGGATACTGCCCTTTCCACACTCAATTAATTGGATGCCCTGCTCTGGGCCTCCTGGGCTCCTTCTGTACCCCTCACCTTGCATGGATGCTTCCTCTGCTTGGCTCCACTTAGTGGCTTTAGGACTGGGCTGAAGGGAATAGAGAGAGAAAAGTGTTCAGTTATCTTTCAAAGAAAGTAAAACCCCAGAAAAAAGTAGTTTATATTTTCCCACAAATTGGCTATTTTTTGTTGCTCTTTTTGTTTAGATCTGAGACTTCATCTGGAGCTATTTCCCTTCAGCATGATGAAATTCTTAACATTTCTTGAAATACAGGTCTACTCCTGCTGAATTTTCTCAGCTTTTATTTCTCTGAAAAAGTCTTCTTTCTTAAAGGTATTTTCACTAGATATAGAATCCTAGGCTGGCTACTTTTTCATTTTTGATACTATTCATTCTTTTCAAGATGTGATTCCATTATCTTTTTTTTCCTTTTTTTTTATTGCTTGTTCAAAACATTACAAAGCTCTTGACATATCATATTTCATACATTAGATTCAAGTGGGTTATGAACTCCCAATTTTACCCCAAATACAGATTGCAGAATCACATCGGTTACACATCCACATTTTTACATAATGCCCTATTAGTAACTGTTGTATTCTGCTACCTTTCCTATCCTCTACTATCCTCCCTTCCCTCCACTCCCATCTTCTCTCTCTACCCCATCTACTGTAATTCATTTCTCTCCTTGTTTTTTTCCCATTCCCCTCACAACCTCTTATATGTAATTTTGTATAACAATGAGGGTCTCCTTCCATTTCCATGCAATTTCCCTTTTCTCTCCCTTTCCCTCCCACCTCATGTCTCTGTTTAATGTTAATCTTTTCCTCCTGCTCTTCCTCCCTGCTCTGTTCTTAGTTGCTCTCATTATATCAAAGAAGACATTTGGCATTTGTTTTTTAGGGATTAGCTAGGGATTCCATTATCTTTTGCCTTGAATTATTTAGGTGTTTTCTCTCCCTTTCTTTTCTTTTCTGTCTTTTTCTTTTTGTGCCTGGGGATTGAACTCAGAGCTTCACACATGGGAGGCAAGCACTTTACTGTTGTGCTACATTCTGGCCCTGCCTTGCATTGTTTCAGGTAAGTCAGTAGCTGGATATTCTTTCCCCTTTTGTATGTAATGTGCCTTTTTTCCTTGTTGCTTTTAAGATTTTTTGACTTTTCTGTAATTTGATTTTGATATGCTTTGGTATAGTTTTCTCTGTGTTTGTCCTTTTTGACCTGTGGGTATATATATTTTAGCAAACTTGGAAATTTTTCAGCCATTATTTTTTTTTAACTACTTTGGTCTCCTTCTTCTTTTCAAACACATCTATTAGATAACTTGTTGTCCCAAAGTTCATTGATTTTCTGTTCATTTTTTTCTTTCTGTGCCCCATTATTAATATTTCTTCAGTAATTTTAAAAAAAAATTGTTTGTTTTAATTAGTTATACATGACAATAGAATGCATTTATGCACTTTGATACATCATACATAGATGGGACGTAATTTCTCATTTTTCTGAGTGTGCATGTAGTCATGTAGTCACATATATACATACAGTAATAATGTCTGTGTCATTCTACTATCTTTCCTATTCCCACATTCTCTCCCCTTCCCTCCCATCACTTCCCTCTATCTAATCTAAGGTAATGCTATTCTTCCCTAGTGCCTCCCGCCTTATTGTGAATTAGGATCCGCATATTAGAGAAAACATTCAGCATTTGGTTTTGTGGGATTGGCTTATTTTGCTTAGCAGGATATTCTCCAACTCCAGCCATTTACTGGCAAATGCCATAATTTTATTCTTCTTTAAAGCTGAGTAATATTTCATTGAGTATATATACCACATTTTCTTTATCTATTCATCATCTATTGAGGGACACCTGAGTTGGTTCCATAGTCTAGCTATTGTGAATTGAGCTTCTATAAACATTGATGTGGCTGCGTCACTATAGTATTCTGATTTTAAGTCCTTTGGGTATAAACCAAGGATATAGCTGGGTCAAATGGTGGTTCCATTCCCAATTTTCTGAGGAATTTCCATACTGCTTTCCATAGTGGTTGCACCAATTTGCAGTCCCACCAACAATGCATGAGGGTACCTTTTTTACCATATCCTCGTCAACATTTATTGTTGCCTGTATTCTTGATGATTGCCATTCTGACAGGAGTGAGATGAAATCTTAGTTTTGATTTGCATTTCTCTAATTACTAGAGATGTTAAACATTTTTCATATATTTGTCGATCAATTGTATTTCTTCTTCTATGAAGTGCCCGTTCAGTTCCTTGGCCCATTTATTGATTATTTGTGGGTTTGTTTTTTTTTTTTTGGTGTTAGGATTTTTGAGTGCTTTATATATCCTAGAGATTAGTGCGTGTGGTAAAGATTTGCTTCCATTCTGTAGGCTCTCTATTTACCTCACTGATTGTTTCTTTTGCTGAGAACCTTTTTAGTTTGAATCCATCCCATTTATTGATTCCTGGTTTTAATTCTTGCACGATAGGAGTCTTATTAAGGAAGTCAGATCCTAAGCCAACCTGGTGAAGATTTGGGTCTATTTTTTCTTCTATTATGAGCAGGGTCTCTGTTCTAGTGCCTAAGTCTTTGATCCACTTTGAGTTGGTTTTTGTGCATGGTGAGAGATAGAGGTTTAATTTCATTTTGCTACACACGGATTTTCAGTTTTGCCAGCACCATTTGTTGAATAGGCTATCTTTTCTCCAGTGAATGTTTTTGGCACTTTGTCTGGTCGACATAACCATATTTTGTGAGTTTGTCTCTGTATCCTCTATTCTGTATCATTGATCTATAAAGTCTATTTTGGTGCCAATACCATGCTGTTTTTATTACTATAGCTCTGTACTATAGTTTAAGGTCTGGTATTGTGATGCCTCCTGCTTCACTTTTCTTGCTAAGGATTGCTTTAGCTATTCTGAGTCTCTTATTTTTCCAAATAAATTTCATGATTGCCTTTTCTATTTCTATGAAGAATGTCATTGGGATTTTAATAGGAGTTGCATTAAATATGTCTAATGCTTTTGGTAGTATGGCCATTTTGACAATATTAATTCTTCCTATCCAGGAGCATGGGAGATCTTTCTGTCTTCTGAGGTTTTCTTCAATTTCTTTCTTTAGTGTTCTGAAGTTTTCATTGTAGAGGTCTTTCACATCTATTGTTAGATTGATTCCCAGGTATTTTTTTTTTGAGGCTATTGTGAATGGAGTAGTTTTCCTAATTTCTCTTTCAGTGGATTCATCACTGATGTATAGGAATGTGTTTGATTTATGGGTGTTGATTTTATATCCTGCAATTTTGCTGAATTCATTTATTAGTTCTAGAAGTTTTCTGGTAGAATTTTTTGGATCTTCTAGATATAAAATCATGTCATTAGCAAATAGTGATAGTTTGAGCTCTTCTTTACCTATTTGTATCCCTTTAATTTCTTTTCTTTTCCTTCCTTCCTTCCTTCCTTCCTTCCTTCCTTCCTTCCTTCCTT